CTAGCGCCCTTTGGCTGGAGGCCACTGACACCCTGTACATGAACATATCCTGTTTTATAATTATTTTCAGTTACTACTTCTTGAATATGGCTTTCCATGTCTTCACACATTTTACATTATATTTCATGGCTACATAATTTTCCATTATTTGAATACGCTAGAATTTCTTTAACTAAACCAATATTTTTTGGAAATCTAGTTTTTTTCTAATGTTTCATTATTATAAGCAGCCCTAATGAGCACTGTTGTGGTTAAATCTTTAAGGGCCTTCATGATTATTTCACTAGGAGAAATTCTTTTAAGCAAAATTACTGGAATTATTGGCTCAAGGGATATGAAACATAATACTAAATTACACTCTTGTCTGAATATGAAATCTTAGAAAGTATTGTAGGACAGCATGTCAACCGACTTCAAACAGGCTCTCATTCCCACTAACTCTCTGCATAGCTCTTATCAATTCTACATCTTGTCAACTCTAATGGTCATTCCCTTGTCCTCAACTAGCTAGACTTCTCAGAAGCATTTGACACAGATAAGTCCCCCTACTTGTTGAAATATGTCCCTATCTAGGTTCCAGGACCCTATCCATATGCACTTGGTTTTCTTCCCCTGTAATTGGCTTCCACTTCTCAGTCTCCTTTGCTGGTTCCTCTTCCTCTGCCAGATTCTTCAATAAGGAAAGGGCCCAGGCCCTCTGCTTCTCCATCAAACTCTCTCACCAGGTGATCTTATCTATGCAGGTGACTTTACATGTCATTTCCATATTGTGACTTTCATAATTATATATCTTGCCTGAACTTCTCCCCCGAACATCAGAAACACATACCTCACTACCTACCTAAGATGCCTTCAAACAAAATTATTGATCTCCTCAATTCCCCCAAACCTTCCTTATCTCAGGAAATCATATCACTATCCACCCAGATGATTAGACAAAAAAACAAAAAACAAGGGGCGGGGGGGACCCCTAAACTTTGTTGTTGATTTTTCTCTCCCTCATACATCATGTTCAATCTATTAGTGAGTCTTGTTGACTCTCCAAAAATATATGCCGACTCTAACCATTTCCCATCAACTTTACAGTGACAACCCTAGGCCAAGCCACTGCAATCTCTCCTGAGGACTACGGCACTGGCTTCTGTGGTTGACAGTCTCACCCATCATATCCAACAAGGAAAAACACAATTTCACAAAAGGAAATCAAAGTGCTGTAGTCAAGAGGTGGAATGGGATGACGGCTGGCCAATCGCAACAAATGACCTCTGAGCTGGATTTTACCATTTTTTTAAAATTTTACCAATTTTGTAAGTAACATTTAAATGTCTACCTTGGAACATCCAGCATTCCTATAATATGCTATATTATAAACTTTTCAGACAATTTTTCAAAGGATGGAAATGGAATGAGAATAAAAATACAACATATGTATGTGTAAAATCCTTTTAAAATAAATTAGTGATGATGGAAAACTGGTGAATTTTTTTTATCATGTTAGAGAGTAGAAGGGCTTTCTAAGCAAGAGGTATATACACAAACTCTTAAACAAATAATAATAACAATAGTAAAAATAATTGCAGCAGGTATAAAAGAGTGTGACAATTCCTATTATATGAGAGCTATTAATGATCAAGAAGCTAGCCCTGGTGTTCTAGCAGTTAAGATATGGCACTCTCACCACCAGGGCCAGGGTTTACTTCCTGGTCAGGGAACCACACCACTATCTATAGGTTGTCATACTGTGGTGGCTGCGTGTGGCTATGATGCTGAAAGCTATGCCAGCAGGATTTCAAAGACCACCAGGGTTACCCATAGCAGACAGCTTTCAGAGGAGCTTCCAGACTAAGACAGACTAGGAAGAAGGACCTGGCCACCCACTGCAGAAAAAATTGGTCATGAAAACCCTATGAATAGTAGTGGAGCATTGTCTGATATAGCACGCGAAGGTGAGAAGATGGTGCAAAAAAAGACTGAGCAGGGTTCCGCTCTGCTGTACACAGGGTGGGTAGGAGTCAGAATCCACTCCACGGCACTAACAACAAAATGATCAAAAAACAAATAGTTAATGATCATTTATTATTAATGCCCCAGCAACATAGACACAATTATCTCCTTTAAAGATACCCAAACTCCCTCAAAAGTAAATAAGTAGAAATTGAGATAACAATGAAGTTTATTTTCTTTATGTATCAGATTGGCGAAATTAAAATAATTTATACCAGTATTGACAGGACGTGGGGAAATTGATACTTACATAGACCATTAGGAGTAACATAAATTGGGACTTACGACTATTTTGGCAATATGTATTAAAGTGTAAAGAAGACACATACATTTTAACAACAACTCCACGATCCTACATAAATGTTTCCACAAAAGCCCAAAGATATCCATGTATGTGTGTGCATTTGTGTGTGTGAGTGTGGTGTATCTCTGTACAATCATTACAAATAATGATTTCAATAACTTGACATAGAAAGGTGTCTAAAATGTAAACTAGAAGAAGAAAGTTGCAACACAGAACATATTTTCCTACATTTCCACTCACATATATTCAAACATATTAGTTTAAGCATAAACAAATCTGTATGAATATATAAGGAACTCTTAACTATAGTTTCCCCTGTTAGTGGTGGTATCATAAAGAGCATTTTCCTAGAGCATTAGAGTGAAATGTCCAAACATAAGAAACAGAAAAAACAAAGAACATGACCATCTTTGTACTGGGACAAATGAAGCTATCTTTCATACACTGAAATAAAGTCCAATCAAACGTCTTTAGAATTCAATGCCCTGTAGATTTGCAGCATTAAATAGTCTTCTTGTTTGGAAGGAATTGGCAATTGATGGCATGAACACCTCAGCAAAATATTTCTAGTGGTAGAGAGAAAGATAAGCCTTGTCTCAGAGTGCTGGGAGAGAAGGCTGACCTTGCCCCTTTGCCTTTCCAAATGTCCCCGAAGTTCCACATTCTCACCCCAATGATCACCATCAATGATCCAGAATGCCTCAGTCAGCTTGCCCCACTCCTGCCCTGCGTGTAAAATAGGAGTAGAACAAACAACCTTCTTATCTACCACCTCTCTTTAAAGGCATACCTAGAAGAACATCTTAAGTGGCTTTGGCTGACACTGCAGATAAACAGGAAGATGGAACCTACATAGGATCAAATAACACTGAAGTTAACGCTCTTAAATCCTCATCTTGGGCTCTAAAGCAAGAGCACAGCCACTGGAAAAGGCAACCTGGGAGAGGGCATGGCACCTTCCAGGAAGATCACTGAAAACTCACATGGGAAAAAAAGCAAAAACTCTCAGAGTATTCATCCCATGGGCATTCTAGAAATGCCCACCGGTATTCGAATGCAGTACAATGGTGCCATTTTCCCAAAACTATTAAGAAACAACCTATATCACACACACATCTGTATGTATATACTCATATATACATCAACATATATATGTGTGTGTATATATACAAACACATACACCCTTGTGTGCATGTGAGTGTATGTGATATCTAATCACAGACTAGCAATTACCACTCAATAAAATTTACCTACTTGTTTTTCAAAAACTCTGAAGAGTCTGGTAGTGTGAAAAAACGACCCAGTAAGAAAGAGAAAATAAGAGTATTTCAAAGTAAATGCTTTTATTTTGAACTCTCTGTTCCTACTTTCACCTTTCAAATCAGATAAAGAAAGCGACACACTTCTGGGTTTTGTTGTTGTTATTGTCATTTTGTTTTGTTCTAATAAAAATAGAGCAAATGCATAAAATACACATTATAAACTCATTTAGTACTCACAAAAATCCCATGAGAGACTATTTCCTTTGCCCAGATGAGGTACAATGAGGTAAACTGAGGCACAGAGAGGCATCCAGAGTTATTGTTCATACCATACATTGGCGTTATCCTGAAAAACTTCACTTTTACCTGAATGAAATGTAAGAAAATTCCCCTCCTGAAATGCTCTATGAATTCTAGGCCATAAGCATCAACTCACTGTATCAAGGCACCAAAATGTGCCTGTTTGGAATCCACGTGTGTTGCACAATGTATAATGCAAACCTAGGGCTTATTACAACCCGTAGTAGAGCAGCAAATCGAATTCGGTCCCAACGCTTGAATATGTATGCGTACGTAGTGGGAAGAGGCAGAGAAGCCTTTGTCAGTACACACGATCCCAAAAGACGCCGGTGCTCCACAGCAAGTTTCCACTATCTGCGCTTAAAACCATGGGGGACTCCCTCGGCCGTCTGGGTCGCGCGCGGTCCGCAGGGCCCAGGGCGCATGCGTGGCCCGGTCCGCTGCGCCTCGCGGCGAGGCGGCTGGGGTGCTTACCTGGTGCGCTGGGCGCGCAGACACAGGACCAGGAGCAGCAGGGCCGCGGCCAGAGCCAGGCCCGGGAGGCTGAGGAGCTGCGGCAGCCACGGCTCCAGCCAGAGGCGGCCCATGCCCGCGGACACGTCTTCTGCCGGCCGGTTCGCGCGCCGCCGCGGTGGGTAGCCCCGGGTCTCTCTCGGCGGCTTCTCTCGGCTGCGATCCCCCGGTCCGGGCCGAGTGGCCGGCTGCGGGTGGCGCTGGCGGGAATGTCACCGCGGCCCCTGAGGCTGAGACTCAAAGTTCCTGGACTCCCCTCCCCCAGCCCACCCACGCGCACCGCCCCGCTCCGCGACCGCCTCCGGCCCGGGTGCTTCTGGAAAACGGCGCCCTGGCTCCTCGGGGCAGGAAGAAGGGCCAAAGAAGGGGGAGGTGAGCTTTCCCGAGAGCGAGCCTCCGAAGGCCTGCAGGAGGGGATTTCTGTTCTGAGTGGGACGCGAGTCGCCTAACTGGGGCCCCTCGGGAGGAGGGACCCTGGCTGCCCCTGAACAGGGTCGGGATGTGCCCGCTGCGCCCTGCTCCGGCGGGACCCGGAGAGCCGGGCGGGCGGCGGGTACCTGCGGAGTGCGCTGCGCCGCCGCGTTCGCCCTGCACAGCCAGTTTGCTCACACGCTTTTATTGAAAGCCTACTGAATGCAGAACCTCGTCCCAGAGGCCAGGAATACAGAGCCCGGGGTCGTGACACTCCAGAAGTCCTGATGAGACACACAATCCAGGAAGAAGGCAGACAGATGAAACAAGGTATTGCAAAACAACGCAAAGGGCCGTAGAAGTGGCACAAGCCCCACAGGTTGTCCTTAGAACAAATAAGGGAGAAACGTAAAATATCTTTTCCTGAGTGATCACCGTTCACCAGGAGCTTCACACATGATTTTTGATTCTCCACACCAAACTTGTGATATAATTTTAAGCAGTATTTTAGAGAACATGTAATGAGACTTAATTTACCTTAGTTGCTCAGATGAGTCTTGAACAAAGGAATTAAGTGTTGAAGCAAAATGAAATCTTACTGTTAATACAGTGTAAGAAAAAGTAACTGATAACCATTCTAACCAAGGCTATTCCAAGACCCCTGTGTTCTTTCCTTTACGCAAACGTTTATTTCCATAGTTCTCTGTACTACTACAATAGCTTCAGAACTGGGCTCCATATCTCTGACCCTTAACCTTTCCAGGCCATCCTCCCCATTACCACCTCCCATCTACACAGATCTATCCTGCTTTTACGCTGTTCAGATGGTTGCTTTTGTGGTAAAGCCATAAATCTTCCACCTGCCATAAGAAGCCTTCCACAATTTGTGTCCAATGTACAACTGCCATGGGTAGAACAGGTCTGTATACACTACAGCTTGAGCCACTGTGTCCTTCACAATCAACCCTTTCACACCTTTGTTTAATGATATTCCCTCTGCCTGAAAATTTTCCTCTCTCCCCTAAATACTGAAATTCTACCTACCTCTCAAGGCCCAGCTCAAATCCCACTTCCTTCTAGAAATTATCCCTAGCTCTTTTTCTGTAATTAACCTCTCCCTCCTCCATACTTTTAACACTGTCTCTACTTTTCACCCCATCACGTTTTCCCACTATATCTAACTATATCTGAGTTATTTCTAAGTCTGTCTTTCCTGCCAGAGAAGGTGGGAACCATCCCTTAGACAACCCTGTCTGCAGCCACTCTCTACTCCTCACCCCCAGATCTCCCACCCTGGAGTTGACATAATGTAGTTGGAAGTACTTTGCATGTGCCTGGCTCAGTCGGTGCTCCATCACTGAATTACTACTGCCTTGCTGTCCTTGGCCTTAAAGCTGTGAATGGCTCAGCTAGCACTGAAACCGTAATGTTTACGAGTATCTTCATCTTTGAATTTTATTCCAGGGTCTTTCTACTGCCCCTCTCTCCTCCTGTTGTAGATTCAATTTTCTGGAAGACCCAAAAGGGCACACTGAGCCCACAGCTACTCTGTCTCCTCCAAGGGAAAGCAGACTGGCTTCCATCACTGCTCAGCCAGCAGAGCTGGTTTACAGGATGGTTTCCATGTCCTGCATTTCTGTAACCGCTGCAGAAAGCCCCTCTCACTAATTTTCACAAGGCGCTTCAACTTTTATACTTGTATTTTCCATTTGATCTGGATGACTCTTCCGTTAGAAAATATAGGTAAAATATTAAGCATTAATTTATTGAACATTTTCTGTTTGCCAGGCACCATGCTAAACATTTTATTTAATGACATTAATAACAACAAACGCCTGCAATTAATCTAAGAAAGTGGAAGGAGGAAGACTACTCTGTCACCTACTAGATTTGGTTAGCAACTGTGTCATATTCTTATGCTATCTGTATGGTACCTTCCTTACAACACCTTGTGGTATACATTTAATGAATGTTGAATGTGTGTTTCTCTTGTGTTTTCCATTTCTGTTCAAAGGGACCTTCATTCCATAAATGACCTGGTTGAAATAAAATCCAAAGACATCTTTTATTCCTCTTTTGCTTTTGTAACCCACTATCAGCCTCATTATCTTCAATCCAATTCAATTTATTTACCTCCAAACATGCCTTTATTTCCATCACTTCTCTGACAGAGATGACTAGTTGACCGTCCATATCTACTTCCTGCTTCCTCCTCTGTAACGGTCCTCAGTTTTTAACGGAACATGTGGCTGTCCTATAAAGACTACTTTCCCAGCCTTCCTTGTAGTTAGATGTGACCATGTGACTAAATTCTCACCTGTAGGCTAAGTATAAGGTATTACTTCAGGAAAGGACCCTTCACGGGAATGGACAGGCCCTCTGCCTCCTTCCTCTTTTTTGCTCATTTAGAATGTGGATACCGTGCTTAGAACTTAAGCAGCCATGTTAGCATATATAAGTATGTCCCAAATATTGCATTCCATATTATTTGTTGTTTATATGAAATTCTAATTTAACTGAAGATCCTAAATTTTTATTTGCCAAATCTGGAAACTCTGGCTTAATTCCAACACAAGAGTTCGTAAGGCCTACAGGCAAGACAACTGTAAAATTCTAGCTGCCCAACAGCCCCCTTCAGAAACCAGCCACAAATCATCCCTTCGAATCAATTACCAGTGTTAGTGTGTTGAGTACTTTGGCCACACTAATTAGACTGACGTCAACAGTCAGATCTAAAGGAGTTATGGGGTGGCCCTTAGACTTTGAAGTATCTAGAACAGTAAGTGTGTTCAGTATAGTTAGCAACTGACCTCATTATTTTTTTCAGAAAATATTGATTGTGAGGCAAATGGAGAGAGAGAAATACAAGCAAAAACAGAAGTGAAAGAAGAGGAAGTAAAGGGAGAGGGTGATCATACACTGGAGTCTCTAAAGTAAGAACTATGAAAATCCAGATGACGGGCCCAAAGCCTCCCCTAGCAGCCCAGGTGACCCTCATCTGCCAGGTTGTTGGAGCCATCAGCCTCTTTCCAATCTATGGTTAGGGCTTGAATTCTGGCTCTGCTTCCCTCTCTTTTTATTCTAAAGAGGCTGTTTGGAAGTCACCAGAACTTGAATAATGACTATTTCCCCTTCCTTTTTCCATCTATGTCCAAATTCTCCTGCCCTGACTTTGAAAATACTAACACAGTAGATTGAGACCTCCAAGTCCACCTACTTAGTCAATAACTTTTGACGAGTTCAAAGTATGTCCATGGCACTAGACCGTGAATGAGATGGCCCTTCCTTCAAAGAGCTGGGACTAAGAGGGCTTTCAAAAGGGTTGACATTGGAAAGGAGAAAGAAAAGAGGCTAGTCTACATGAGATTGTGGAGTGATGATGAGGGGACTTAAGGACGTACACCCATATGGCTTCAATCTTGTGAGCTCCCGGGAAGCAAATAATGTGCTGGGAAAAGGGTCAATTATAGGGTTCAGTTGTTGGGAAACATTTGAAAGTACAACTGTGGGAAACATCAAAGTGGAATTCCACACAACATTTTATCCCGTTTGGGGAATGTCTTACAGTCAGATTTGAGTACTCAAGCCTGACCGATTCTACCAACTTTTGGCATAAGATATAGATTGGGTTTTGAGTCATATCTACCACTAAAAAGAAAGACTGCAGCTGTCTTTCTCCCCTTCCTCATGAGCTTTGTCTTAACTACCTTTGATTTCCTATTCCCTTCTGTTAGAATTAAGACCACCTCTGGGTAAAACTGTGAAGCAGAGGAAGGGAAGAAGACGGAAGAAGAAAGGAACATGGACGGAGAAGTCCTGCTATGCACTAGGTACTGCTTCATGTTTTACATACTTTTTTTTCATGTAATCTTCAAAACCAATCTTTGATGCGGGTATTATTATTTCCTTTTACATAAAATAAAAACGAGACTCAAAGAGTTTCAGGGCCCCTGTGATAATTCAGCTCCTACATTACACTGAGAAGTCACCCCTCCTTTCACTGTACCATCTTGCTATCCTTAGAGTTTTCTTTCACTAACCCTTTACTATATCTCTTCAATCATTCTTGCCTCCATTTTTATGGATCCTGTTTCTACCATGAGCTGCCCATCACCAAGATACCCCATGAGCACAGTTGGGCCTCTGCTTGTACCATGGCCTACCTCAGCCCCTGTCTAGCTCTGAGATTAGTCTCAGTTTTTCCATCTGAAAAATGATATGACTACCTTCCCTATAGGTTTATGAGGATTAAATTGTGAGAGCAAATATACAACAATCTAAATGCCTGGAGCTTCTCCCTTTTTTCACATTTGAACACCTTCTGCTCCATTGGCATAGGGTATAAGTAGAAATGAGTTTATTAGACAAACTCAGCCCAGCCCAAGTGTTATTACTTCTGCCCAATTAAAATGTAAAATGTGCCACTTTGTTGTTTTCTTAAGGTGGCTATTCTGATTGTAGCTGAGATAGTGATAATGGTATATTCTGAGACCTGAGACTGCTGTGAGCCCAAAAGTTATTTTTTAATTGGCACATAGTAAATAGTGAGGCACCTTAGATGCCAGCCCTTAACCTGACTAAAAATATCTTAAATCACACATGCTTCCTTTTGTTGTCTTTCTTTGCAGTTTAAATAATTGCACTTATTTTCTCTTTAGTTTTCCTTTCTCCTAAAAAAACAGTTTATGGTGTCAACCTAGCACTCAGTTTGCACATATAAACAAGGCAGGCAAAAATGCTTATTAAATAAAGCGCTGTTGAATGAACAGAGTGACCCAACAATAGTGTTGTTCCAGTTAATTCTTTTTCTTTTTATAAAGTACAATTTTAGGTAAGACCTGAATATAATTATTTTGAAGTAGCTATAAAAATGGTGGAACAGATGGCTCTGATTATCTCCAAGAGGGAGGAAGAGATTCAAGAGTTTTGTCATTTCTTGTTTAATAGTCTTGGCATTACTTATACACACTTGGGTTTTGTAGTCTCTGGCTTATAAATTCACAATATCGTGCTAAACCTTAGTTCATTCTTGCGATCTGACCCTACTTCCCATGCCAAGATTCAAGACTTGCTCTCTCTCTGTCTCTGACTCACTGGCTTTTCCAACATTTCATTTCTGGATTAGCCTTTGAGTGCAGATTTCTAAGGACAGAAAGCACAGGGATCTTTCAGAGCCTTCCTTTACATAAGACCCCCCCACCCCTGACCCTGCCCGAGCTACCCCTGTTCACTAAGGGAAAGTTTTATAGACTCCAGAACATTTTTTTTTTTTTTTTTGGATTGGACCAGGCTGGTTCTCGGAGAAGCAACAAAAAGCCTCGTCTTAAATAAAATTTACCCACACCACCTCTCTCACCTCTGCTGTTTCTGCCTATTATAGGAAAAGTCCTGGGAAACTACTCAAAGAGAGAGACCAGTACAGGAGTTTATTAGGACAGGCTCTCAGGATCAGCACCAGGAGTGGGAAAGTGAAGGAAACAGACAGAGGGAGAAGTTGGGCGGGGATGCAGTCTCAACAAGAGACTCAGCCCATAAGGATATCTAGAACTCAGATGGCCCATCAGAACTGTCCCAAGAGTGGGGGAAGGTTCAGGCTGTAAAGGCCAGTATCAACCTGTCATTGGCTGTGGACTGCACTTAGGAAAGGGGAGAGGGTGACCTTGAGTAAGGAGGTTCTCTTTATCTGAAGGCAATTCCTGAAGCCTCTGATGACATTCACAGAAGCTGGGAGCACAGGTCCTCTCATCCTGACAGAGAATCTGAGCAATACAACCCAGTATTTACTAAATAGGCAGTGTCCACACTAGTGCCACAGAACTCTCTCAGAGGCAGATGGCATGATGTGGTGGTGATGATCCTCGCATTCATTCATTTTGAAGTTCTCTCTCTCACTAGCATAATTAGAGTAACACTAGTCTCTCAGCTTCTGAGATGATAAAGCAATCATGTTCATCAAATGATTCTAATGTTAAAGAAGAAAACTTTAGACTATTTATGAGTCAAAGTTTATTACAATATTGCAACAAGGAAAACCTCTAGGTGGTCAGCTCAGATATTTACTCTGATTAGGAGTGTTATAGAAAGAGAATGTGAGTTAACCATTGTTAGTTTGGTGACAAAAGGAAAAGAATGGCTTAAAATCTTGGCTGATAGGTGACAGTCAATGAAGGTGTTTCCCCAAACAAGTCTAAATCTCGGGAAATTTTATCAGAAAACCACTTAAGCATTTTTCAGGAATGCTAAACTCTTGTCTTTCATTAGGCAAAAAGTTTCTGCTGCAGACAAAGTTTGGGACAATTTGTCTTTTACCCTAACAAGTTATGTTTTATTTACTCAGTCTACCATGGTGCCCCTTCCTTCACAGAGTCCCATTCCTTTATCAGGCTAGTTGCAGTTTGGCTTCCCAGTAGGCCCTTCCACACCCACACTTTTCTTTAAAGACTAGAGAAAAACACCATTCACTCTCTATCCCATGTTGCTATCTGACTCCTCATTGTGTGACCTCTGTTCCCAGCTTCCTCTCCACCCACCTCTTTCTTGTCCAAGGCTCAACTGGAAAATCATCAAATTCATTCCTCTAGGTTTTCTGAACCTTTTTTCCATTTCCTCCTCTAGCCTTCTGATCATTAATATTCCCATAGCTGAACCATTCCTTTCTCCTTCCTTCTCTGAAGTCTGGCATTTTTTCCACCAAGCAAGATTGCTAAATTTTGACATTTATAAAAGCAATTAATAATAGCAACTATACATATGCTGAAGTTTTGAATATTCTGATTTATGAGCAAACATTGCACTAATGAAAGAAGAAATTAATTGATTTGTAATGATTCTGAAAAGCAGTCTAATTGCTTGCCAGGGTTGAAGTATAACTAAGATGGGTATACACACATGTAATCCAGCATTAGCCAAGGGCTTTGTAATGTCTATGTCTGCCTGTGGGGGAATCTGTTTCGACCCTACAGCAACTGGTAACCAGAAGGCAGAACTCTGTACCTTCATTTGTTTCTGCAAGAAACCCAAACACAGCTGGCACTGAAGTCTTTGCTGCAAATTTGTGAGAAGTCACATTGTACAGCACATAATATTTCATGCAAAAAATCCTCAACATTTTATGTTCCCCCTCCTACTGGACCACATCACAATGGGAAATTTCCTCCTCCCCACTCCCTCAACAACAAAGTCCAGTCTCTCTGGTTCTGCTCTCCCTCTAGACCTTTCCTCTTCAAATACAAAATAGCTTCTGCCTTTGTAATGCAAAGCAATTCAATTTGCATCTTTTATTTGAGCATGCCACTGGGGTCTCCCATGTCAAGAAGCTATGGAAAAAATTCTGAACAATAAGCATGTAATATTTTCAAAATATCATCATCATTATCAACCACAACATTAAAAAAAATTTTAGGTGAAATTAATTATTTTCATTTTCAGGAATATAAGTAGATGTTAGGAAATTAGAAAAAAATGGTGTCCCCTCTCTCTCACCCTTAAAGATGCTCTAATGACAATGATTGGTCAATCAGAGTGTATGTGGACGGACAACTATCAACATGTGTCCCTTCTGCCTTTATAGGTGCCTTAGAGAATCCCCTTTGCAGACACTATGTCTTTTCTCCATTTGCCCCTCCATCCTTTAGAGGCTAGATTCTTGGTCTAGAAAGGTGCAAGGACTAATTCGGCCTTCTTAGACTTTCCTCCTTCTACTTTTGGGTGTTCCAGGACCTCAAAATCTTTTCTCTCTCTCTCTCTCTCTCTTTTTTTTTTTTTTTTTGCTTCTCTTTTATCAGTTACCAAGAATCTGGAAGTCTATTCCTTATGTAGATTCTCAGTGCCAGTCTCAGCACAATTCTTAGCCCTCTAGCATTCACACAACTCCCATGCCAAGACAAGCATAATGTAATGCTTTAAGGAACTTTCTAATGCTCACACATAAATGCAGGCATATATTTGAATCCTTACCTGCCTATTTTTCTCTGCATTTCTGCATCAGGAATCAGAACATAATTATTTTGTAATTAAAAGTCTGAAAATGAACCAGCATAATTCTTTTGAGTCGATAAAGCATTTTCAAACATTATAGAGTGTGTGGCATTTAGATTCTCTCTATATATTTGTTAAATCAATGAAAATTAGGAAACTGATGTGAGGCAAACCCATATAGTAGAAAAAGTATCACTAATATTCACATTAATAAAGGAGAATCCATCTGCTTCTACTGTCTGGCTCTTGAACTTGATCAACTCATGGGAATATTGTACAGATAAAATGTAGAAAAAAATATTTAGCTTGGTGATCAGCACATAGTAGGTACTCAATAAATATTGGTTTCATTTTATTTCTTTATGGTGAGTCAGACCCAGTTCATGATGGGCAGCTCAGCTTGCATGGTAATTTGATGGCCAGGATCAAGTGTTTTGTTTCCACAAGAGCCTGAGGCAAGCCAAAGTTGTTTCTCGAAAGGAGAATAATTATAAGCAGAGAATGGCGGTTTTGCTCTGAAATCTTAAATGTTTGCTCTAAGATTCACCTTCAGAGACCTCCAATGGCTCTGTACAGCGTCTCTGTTTTCCAGACGCTTCAGACGCCATCAGATCTTCTGAGTCAAAAGAACATGGTAGAAGAGCTACTTACATTAACAAACCAAACCTGTTCAGAACCTTATCTTGGTCTGGACCCTGCTCAATACTGGAAGCCTTCCGGGTTACTTAATAAATAGATTGGAATATCAGACCCAAATTTGGTATATGTTTCCTCAAAAATCCAAAGAGGCTTGGTATGTATTGTGCCTCTTTCTTGAGGTAGGAGGAATCAGACACAGCAACTTGTCCTTCTT